CAGCTGCTCGCATAAAATTCAAGGCATTAATGTTTGCCTACAAAACCACCACTGGCTCTGCACCCCTTCACCTAAATTCATTACTTCAGTCTTATGTGCCCTCTAGAAGCTTGCATTCTGCAAGTGTATGTTGCTTTATTGTGCCATCTCAAAGAGGCACAAAGTCACTTTCACAGACTTTTAAATTAAATGACCCTCTAACTCTAGCACTCTCTATTCTAATACTATTCTTAAACAAACACCCCTTTTAGACTTGCACTCTATTTATTTACTAACTGCTTGTTTTCTTTAAAAAAAAATAAAAAAAATAAACTAACACTAGCTTCTCTAATCTTTTTGTATTCCATCTATTTGTTTTCTTTGTTATTTATTATACAATTAACAAAAGCAAAAAAGGCCTCTAACACTAGCTGCTCTATTCTTTGCCTATTCTATCTTTTCATTTAATTATTATTTTTTTTCATTTTCTTTTATTTATTATATGATTTAAAAAACTTTGCTACGTGTACTGCGTTAAGCTAACTGAGATTTGTTATAGCACTTGTATATCATTGCTCTTTTGTTGATTTTGATTGCTTCCATTGTCCTCATTTGTAAGTCGCTTTGGATAAAAGTGTCTGCTAAATGGCTAAATGTAAATATAAATGTTTACCTGTGTTTGTTTGCACATGTGATGGTCATTGTTTTGTTTTTCCTGAACGTTTATCCATTCACCCCAAATCAAACTCAGAGATGCCTCATCTGTTTTCCCACTACGTGAACTTGTAGAAGAGCATGAAAAAGGTGGAAGTGAAAATGCTAGAAAATCACTAATGGAAAAACAAGAAAACAAACATCTGGCATGATCTCAAAATGACTGTTATGCAGTAATGCAACTGTTGTGGAATAATACAACGATGGAATCAGAGCATCTCAAATGGCTTCTGTCGCAGAGCCAGTGTGTGTGTGTGTGTGTGTGTGTGTGTGCACTTGGATGGATTAAATGCAGAGCACAAATTCTGAGTATGGTTCACCATACTTGGCCACATGCCACTTCATTTTTTCACTTCACTTTAAAAGCGTGTGACTTTCAGAGCTAGTGACAGTATATTTTTATTTCCTCTTTTCTGCCAGGTTTAGGTTTGGCAGTGGATGCTGATCTTGACCTGTCTTTGAACCAGTCCAAATGGAGAGGAATGGCTTTTCCCTTATCCAAACAAACACACACACACACACACACACACACACACACACACACATATTCTACAACCCTACAAATGCTATCAATACACCTGTCTGGTGACTGCAGCAGACAGACAATGAGTGCTAACACAGATATGGTCAATGACAGGGTTGCACTGCTTTTAATGCCTTATTGTTCATATTTTATATATATAAAGCATGGGATTGAGGTTAAGAGCTGTTTTCCTGTGTTTGTTTGCACGTGTCTTTTTTTTTTCTTTTTCTGAACGTTCATCCATTCACCCCAAATTAAACTCAGAGATGCTTCATCTGTTTCCCCACTACGTGAACTTGTAGAAGAGCATGAAAAAGTGGAATTGAAAATGCTAGAAAAGCACCGATTGAAAAACAAGAAAACAAACTTCTGGCATGATCCCAAAATGACTGTTTAAAGTAAATTTAGCTGTGTGTTGTGCAGCAATGCAACTGTTGTGGAATAATACAGCGATGGAATCAGAGCATCTAAAATGGCTTCTGTCACAGAGCCTGTGTGTGTGTGTGTGTGTGTTTGTATGCTGGTGGGGCAAACGGAGGGGTGGGGGTTAACATTTCAAGAGACGGAGATGGACAGTGGCAGTGACATCACAAGGACGCTGTATACAAGCTGAAAGTGGGGGAAAAGTGAAGATCTGAGCTCATTTGAGGAGTTTTCCAAACCCGCAACCAGTCACACGATCTTCGGAGAGGACGCAGATATCGGTAAGGAGCTTGACTGGACTTTCTATTGCTTTGTGAAAAAGTTAAGATACAAATTATTGCCAGCAGACTGTACCTGTCATTCTTAGATATTATTTTAATACTTTAAATGTTTGTAATAGCAACAAAATTAATTTATATATGATTTCATTTTAAAAAATCATTAAAAAAATCATTTGTAGTAGAATTTGTTTGAGATGGGTAAACTAGTACATACAAAAAAAATTAAACTTAAAAGTGAAATCATAGTTTTCAAGAAGAATGCATTGAGACTGGGTGAAATAGTAAAATAACTTCAGATTAAAAAGTTTAGAATTAAACTCAAGAGAGGGCACTCGCCGAAGATGGCTGCTTAATCTGTTAGCTCCGTGCCAGTTCCCTTCCCCCCCCCATTCTCTTTCGGTTAAATTGACTTAAAATACTCAAAGTTTATTGTTCAAACAACGTCCGAGACCAAAGAAGCACGAGATTTTCTGCTTTTCACGCCTTCTCGGCCTTCCAGAAATGCAAAGAAAAAACAAGCCGAGACGGAGGAGGCCTCGTCAGATCAAACCGACGCCATTTTGACCGAAATTCGCTTGCTAGGAACCAGTTTGGGCAATATTGACGGCAGATTGAGTGCAATCGACAGTATTTCTACCTCAGTTACCTCAATACAGGAAGCCCTTTCTAATTTATCCGGCAGAGTGGCGTCAAACGAGTCGCGCTTAACCGAGGCTGAAGATGGCATGCTAATGCACGATAGAAGAATCACGTCTCAGGACAAAGAATTAGCATTACTTCGAGCCAAAGTAGACGACCTGGAGAATCGAGGCAGGCGTAAAAACCTGAGACTCGTCGGCCTCCCTGAGAAAGCTGAAGGCTCTGAACCTATCGCGCAATTTCTCACCAGGGTGTTGCCGTATGGAAAGCCTTTGTAACATTTAATCTATAAGCCGTACTAGTATCTATTTTCATGGTACTAGTACTTATTTTTTAGATACTAGTATCTTTTCCATTAAGTACTAGTACTTATTCATTAGGTACTAGTGCTTATTCTTTAGCTACTAGTGCTTATTCTTTAGGTACTAGTGTTTATTCTTTAGGTACTAGTGTATTTTGTAAAGTTACTAGTACTTATTCATTAGATACTAGTACTTAATCATTAGATACTAGTACTTATTCCAATAGTGACTAGTATTTAATTATACTCTTCTTGTTAAGAAAAAATAGAACTAGTACTTATTTTTTAGTTACTAGTAACTTTTTAGACCAGCGATATCCTGAACTTAATAGATACTAGTACTTTTTAAATTAGCATTTCTGCCCAGTATGGTAATCGTATGTTGAATATTAATGAGCCAGCAACATATAGGAGAGAAATTAGACAAGAAACAGAAACAAGGAGATTGATGTACTTTTTTTGAGGAAACCACATAGAAAAGAATCAATTATTTGTACACAAGCACATAGAAAACTTATTTTTGTCAGTTTTGTAAACACTGTAATTTCGTTAACGTAGTAGCCTAATGTGTTTGTTGGTCATCGAAGATTTTATCTATTCATGAACAGCTTGTAACACTCCAAAGAGAAAGGAAAACTTGAAATCGCATCATATAACCCCTTTAATGTAATTTCTTGTTAATTCATAATCGTCGCTGGAGGGCGCCCTCGTGCAGAAACTCCACAAGTGAGACTCACTGATGAGGAAATTCAGCTTTTGCTGTAGATGTAGCCTAGTAGCTGAATAACATGCAGATAGACGTTTTACTGATGAAACATGAAGAAAATAAACAATGACTGTGACAACATATGGTTTTATCTGTGCTCTTCAAGCCATCTCGGGTATTTTTATAAGAAAGTTTAAAATGCAATGCTAATTGATAAAGCCTTTATCACTGTATAGAATGATATAAATTGGCATGATTTCTGCCTCATTCTTTTTAATGAAACCATGTCAGATTACAATAATAAGTTATTTCAAAGACTCGACTGATGTTGTGAAGTGAATTTGGACTAAAACATATCATTATACTTTTGTTGGAAAACAGGTTTGTAATCTTGTGTTTTCATGGAAACCCAATTAGCAAGATAGGCTAACATTCAAAGCCAGTTAGCCTTACTTAACAATCAAATTATTTCTGCATATTAATGTATTGTATTACCAGGTGGACTCTGATTGGACGGTGGAGATGTACTCATGTTTATGTAATGATCTGTTTAAATGAAGATATCTCCAAATACATTCTCACTAGTTCTTTATGAGGTTGAAGATATCGCCAAATGAACAAGGAGACGTAGTTATTCTGTTTTTGATATAATCTTTTAATTTCTGACTAGTAATTATTGCAATATTGACTAGTATATATTTAAATATTACTAGTAAGCATTCATTAGATACTAGTACTTATTCATTAGATACTAGTACCTATTTAATAGATACTAGTAGTTATTCATTAGGTACTAGTACTTATTTATTAGACACTAGTATCTTTTGTAATTACTACTAGTAACAATTCTTATCTTACTAGTCAGATCTGCTTTTTTACTTGTCTTATGTTATGACTAGTCCAAATGGCTACAGTAGAGTTCAATTAAAAAATGTACTAGTAAAATAAAAAATCTTACTAGTAACATTTCGAATAAGTACTAGTATCTAATAAATTTGTACTAGTATCTATTTAATAAGTATCTATTTAATAGGTACTAGTATCTAATGAATGAGTACTAGCTTCTAATAAATAAGCACTAGTACCTAATGAATAAGTACTAGTATCTAATAAATAAGTACTAGTATCTAAAAAATAAGTACTAGTATCTAATGGACAAGTACTAGTATCTAATAATACGTACTAGTACCTGATGAATAAGTACTAGTGTCTATTTAATAGGTACTAGTATCTAGTGAATGAGTACTAGTATCTAAAAAATATGTACTAGTACCTAATGAATAACTACTAGTGCATAAAAATTAAGTACTAGTCACTAGTGGAATACATACTAGTCAAAACTGAATAGTTGATATCTCAATGATGGATCCCCATAGAAGTCAATGGCAAAAATTTAATTTTTTTTACTAGTAACAATATAATAGTTACTAGTCACTATTGAAATAAGTACTAGTATCTATTGAATAATTACTAGTATCTAATGAATAAATACTAGTATCAAATAAATAAGTACTATCTAATAAATAAGTACTAGTATTTAATCAATAAGTACACTGTAAAATCTAATTAGTTGGGCTTACTTAAAAAAAGATGAATAAATTATGCAGTTGCTTTGTTTTACAGATGTTGATTTTATTTGCCAATTTCATTTGCTGTCTTGTGTCAGTAGTAGCACAACAAAAAGAGCAAATAAAATGGTTATTGTTACAATTAATACAAATAAATGAAATTGAATTGTTACCATTGTTGTGATTCATGTGCTGAATGTTTAAGTCTGTGTGTTACTTTAGCATATTATCACACACTATTTAAGGATTATATAAACCCAAATAAAAGCATCTCATGGTATTTATGAAAAATTTAATTTGATAAAGTTTTTGAATAAACACACACAATAAATGCACTAATGCTTTAATTAGAAGACGTCACTTTCTAAAAGCAACCTGTTTATTACTTTTCTTCTTTTGAAGTCAAATAACTCTGACTTCATGATGCAGTGCTGCATTAACAGAAAGAAAATTATAGCGATGTAAACCAAGTTCTTCTTCTGTTGTTATGTTGCACATTAGCAACATATTAGTGCAGGCTGCCTCTCACTGCTTTATTAATGTCATTGGTTCCTTTGTGGCTACTTGAATATTTTAAGTAAGTGTCACTCAAAACAGTAAGTAAATTGTTTTATTTGCCTTGAAAGTAGCTGTAACTTAATAAAACCTAGTAAGTATAACAACTAAGTAAAGGTAACTAACTAAATCTAAGTAAGGTAAACTATTGGATTTTACAGTGTAGTAACATTAAATTAGATACTAGTGCAGTCTATAGATTAAATGTTAAAACGGCTCGCCATAGTTGCCGAAATGGCTGGACTTTACATCTGATCCACATTTTGAGATTGAAAGAGCCCATAGATCTCTCGGCCCTGTCCCTGGAACAAACCGCGCTCCACGAAGTGTGTTGATCCGTTACGTTATGCGCATTAGGAGTCGATACTGCAAGCAGCGCGGAAAAAACGCAACACCAGTCACGAAGGGACTCAGCTGCGCTTCTTCCAAGACGTCTCCGCCGAGGTGCTGAAGAAACGTCGGGAGTTCGACGATGTCAGGAAAATACTGTCTGCCTATTGTATTGCATGTTCAGAGGCTTTGCCTATCCTGCTAAACTTCGTTGCCTTCACGGAACTCAGATACATCTTTTTTCCTCTCCAGCGGGCGTCACGGAGTTTCTGAAAGCTTTGGAAGATAAGTAATGTTCGAAGATTGCAACAGACACAAGCAGGGGCTCGAGCCCCGAATGTTTTGTCCTTAAGTCCCAGGAATTTTGCCAAGGAGTTCAGAGGAAATGTGAGAAAATGAGAAATGAAGTAAATGTTGATCGTTTTAGTTGGCCACTGTCAGTAAGCGATTTTGACTGACATCTCTCTCCACTCACTCACTCACTCACTCACTCACTCACTCACTCACTCACTCACTCACTCACTCACTCACTCACTCACTCACTCACTCACTCACTCACTCACTCACTCACTCACTCACTCACTCACTCACTCACTCACTCACTCACTCACTCACTCACTCACTCACTCACTCACTCACTCACTCACTCACTCACTCACTCACTCACTCACTCACTCACTCACTCACTCACTCACTCACTCACTCACTCACTCACTCACTCACTCACTCACTCACTCACTCACTCACTCACTCACTCACTCACTCACTCACTCACTCACTCACTCACTCACTCACTCACTCACTCACTCACTCACTCACTCACTCACTCACTCACTCACTCACTCACTCACTCACTCACTCACTCACTCACTCACTCACTCACTCACTCACTCACTCACTC